GCATGACAAAATTTTCAACAGGATCTGTATTGATCCTCTCCTGGGACTCAGTTATAATTCGTCCTATACTCGATCGTAGCGTCACTCGCGTCCGTCAGAACAGAGTTTTCAATCGCACGGCGCGACATCAAATATGCAAGCGCTCTTAAAATCCTAGTTTAAAACTGACCTGCCCGACCAACGAGATACACGAGGATACACTCAGAGAAATGTGTGAGAACTTGTCCAAATAACGATACACTTTTTGCTTTTGTGTGGGTAATTCTGATCCAATTTCACTCGGCATAAGGTCGTTTCAGTACTACGTCCGCGCTATACTCGTGCTGCATGTGGGTGAAAAATTGTCATAATTTGGACGAAATGACCTGATTATTTGTCTAAATGAACTATGCATGTGAGCAGCCAGGTGACCTCTCGCCGCTGTCATGTTATATTATGCACGCACTCAAACATTACCGTGTCATGAGTCGTATTGTGGCCTGTATTAACTACCACTGCATAAAATTTAGTGGTAAATGCATGAATTTATGACTGGAAGCATTCAGGAGTGGGGAGGGGGGGGGGTCGAGTGTTGTACGCTAACCTGGTGATTTGCAAATCGTTCGTTATCGGCATTACAGAACGTTAATTTTGCATTTGAAAGGTTGACGTGCGAGAGTTATGCTCGCATGATGTCAATGGGTCCTGATCAGCAACTTGTGTGTTTGATGGATGGTGATTTATGGATCATAACTTACGGCATGTAACAAAGCAAGGTTTCATTTTAGTATACAATGTAACAACTAACATACACTGTTAGAAAAACTACCGTTAACGGTATTACCGCGCGGCGTTTCAGTGGCCGATCGACACGTGAAAAGAAACACCGTGTTGCCGTTTTTATTCTATTTTAACACTAGAAATCCGCAAAACATCTGATAAAAACGGCGAAACAGTTTATTTTCACGGGGCGACCGGCCACTAGAACGCCAGTGGGACCGTTTTTTTCACCGTTTTTTTTCTAACAGTGTATCTAAGTAAGTTCATTAAAGGATATTTCTTTCATTCTTTTATTATTGTGAATTGTGGATGCTATTTAGCTATGAAGACTGAATCTCCTTTATTTCTAGCCCTTCCAAACGTCAGTTTTTTTCCCTATGATAATTTCGCCTTTCAACTTACATTTCCGCCAAACACGCCGCTTGTTTGAGAACAAATGCCCTGCATTTGAAACCCTGTTGTCCTTCCAATTGTCATTTTACTTCCCATAATAATTTCGCCCTCTAAACTTACATCTCCGCCAAACACGCATGAAGTCCTAAAACTCGGAGCTGCTCCATCACGCAACAATTTAGCGAGCATCCCAGGCGCCTGATTTTCTGAGCCAGGTCAACTGTAGCTCCTTTAGCTTGCATTAAAACTTCTGGAACACGACGCCACGTCTCACGGGGCGGCAGTTTTGCGATGATCTATGCACAGTACAGCGCCCGACAAATGCCGGGCGCTACCTATACAAATGCTGCCTAAATATTCTGCAGGCCTAGGCGTCAGAGTCACTAGGGATCGCACGCCTGTTGTACCTGCCTAAATACTGAGCAGCATCTGTCTGATGAAAATCCTATATCCTCGCAAGCTTATACATATGTCCATGTTAAATTCAACGCGACGTTTTCTATCATTAATAAATTTCAACTCTACGTTTAAAATTCTATGACCTTGAATGCGCGATAATTACTACACAAGGGCAGTGTTCTCTCCTGCGTTCATAACGACACATGCCTGAGCCATTACCTGCAAAAATTTCCTTTTAATAATCGCACGGAACTAGCATACAAACACTTATTTGTTAATATGCGCAATAGGGATATGCATATTGAAAGCCGCATAACTTGCATATTAATACATAAATGCATATAAGTGTTTTTCAAGCCCCCGACTGTCCGGTAAATCCGTTTATTCAAGTGGGGTTCATCGTGAGTTCAGGTAATTAAAATTGAAGTAAATTTATCTTTGTTGAATATTAAATACAATTTTACATTCGATGTGTGCTATTTGTTTCAATATTCCATGTTTAAAATGTTTTTTTTTCAATTATAACTTACCATTATTAATAATATACCTTGATTAAACAGACGAATGATTAAATAAATGTTAACTTTGCGTTATTGACCTTTCATCCCGTAAATCGGACTGAATAATAAAATTCCGAATCAGCTGACGATATTTATTTTCATTTCCATAGTAATAGTGTTAGATTAAAACAATAACAAAGCTGCGCTTGAATTAAAACCAAAGAAATACTCGCTAAATATTTACAAACAACAAGTTGAAAATACGGTCTAAAAATAATCAATCAAGTCTTTAAACTCGACTTTTCTTCGAAAATTTTGCCAATATTTCCATGCGTATATAATATTTTAGTTACATACATCAACTGCTGCTTTAATTTTTATGTGCGTCTCTTTTGTGACCAATCTTTTGGCCGATCTATAATGCTGGGGAATTTCTGAACTAAAATCTATCGAAATATCAATTTATTTGCACCTAATATGAGGATTAAAATTCTATGACCCATGATTGAAGAGCACCACAGCTTTTCCTTATTAATCCTCTGTGTTATTTATCCGAAATACGTAGAAACATTTCAATGTTACATTTTCCTGACATTTGAACATAGCAATTAAACCAACACAAGACTCAACTTATAATGGCCTCTTTAATCTGAAAAAATATGATTTAACTCTTTGTCTATTGAAAAGATTTCAACTCCGTTGACATATAGTCGCTTTTCTTCAACAACGAAAAGAATTAAGGGGTCATATTGACCAAATAGTATCGCACTTTCTCACCCACATCACGATCAGAGAGCGGATTTTTACTAACACAAACTGGGTCAGGATGACCCACACAAGGGCACAAACTGCATCGCTATTCGGACGAAGTCTCATACATTTCTCCGAGTGAATAAGTGAAGCAGTTGCCGGCACCCGCTGCAGTAATCGCATCGCGCTGTAAACTGCATCGTTATTCGGACAAAGTCTCCTACATTTCTCCGAGTGAACAAGTGAAGCAGTTGCCGGCACCCGCTGCAGTAATCGCATCGGGCTGTAAAAGTCAGGCGAGCCGTCAGCGCGCGACTTGACTCGATCAGTCCCAGCGCGGCAGATTTAAGCAAGTTTCGCTGCGGCCAAAGTCCCAATTGAAGCCAATAAGGCCGATGAAGCTGCCTCTTGAAAACCTGATAACTTGCGACACTGCCATCCTGCAGCTGCTCATGCTGCAGCTACTCATGCTGCAGACTCTTTTGTTAGGTATTACGTAATAAATGACGCTACAAAGTTGTTTATTAATTATGCAGTAATATTGCATTTCTTGTGATACACTTGAAATTACGTTCGGTTATCAATGTTTTCAAGTAGTTTAAATTTAGAATGATAATAGGCTATGTATGGACATACATGTAATTTCACTCATTTAAAAAAATTACTTCCACATTTCGGAATGTTTTCAATTTTGTTATTTTAGTTACCTACTTGAATAATTTCTTATTATATTCGACCAAAAGATTCAAATATTAATAACAAGATTTTTGTCATCATACAACACTTGATCTCAACTTCATTATTGACCCACAAGTTTTGAACACAAACGGCATTCTTTTTAATCAAACATCTATTTAGGAATAATATTCTCAATAAATTTCAGTAACGCATTTCTTTGAATTTAAAAACTGAAATTTCGCTGCAGCAACGGATATTTTAAATCAAATAATCGGTTTTTAAGAATACGTAAAATCACGAAAATAAACAGTCGCTGGACTCTTCCATTCATCGGTGAAATAACCTTATAATGAGGAAACGATATTAGGATATTTTGGAACTGAAATGTTTCCAGGGGAGATTGCTCGTCGCATGTGCATAATTATACCGTTAGTCGGCTTAAATAACATGTTAGACAAAATGTAAAAACAAATAGAACACCAAGTAAATTCACTCATCTTCACCGAAAACTTAATCGGCAATTTTAAAAAGATATGACGAATTTCCTTGGCATTATTTTGCTTTTAAATTTTTAGTACATAATTATGTGCCGGGAACATCGCCTAGCACGCGAGGCACCAGGCTGAACATAATCCTAGCTAGAATTCCATGGAAAATATTTGGAAATTTTTAGAAAATTTCATGGTGGTCTGAAAATATAGATACTCGATCCAAACTATCATGATAATTTTGTCGGTTCCTCTATGTTTCAAATAAATAATATTCACTCCTGTATGGCAAGAATTATACTGGATTTTTAGCGCATTTTCTCATTTATGGAAAAAATGCACTATTGTGCTCGCCATGTCCGTCAGTCTGTCTGTCTGTCTGTCCGTCCGTCCGTCCGTGACCTCAAGTTTTCGTCGACGAGAAAATGCGCTCTTTGTCACTCACTGCAGTGAGTACTGAGTTATATTTTTTTAGCATTGATAGAGATCCTTATACTCAAAACCATTTTCCAAAAGTTTGGATAAAAAATACTTAATCCTAACATTCGCATTTCCTTAATTTTGAAATCTACAGATTTCCTGTCATGAAAATTCTTCGAATTGTATCTATTACACATTGACTCAAGAATTTTCATTCCTTAAAAGAATTTATTGCTTTCTCAATAAAAGTCAACTCTGCATTGATTTAAAAATGAAAATACTCTTCATGAAGAATGTTGTGAATTTTTTCGCTAAAACTTACGATAGAATTATTATTATTATCTATGCTGGGTTTATATAGGGATAAGGGATGAGACCTCAATTTTTTGAGGATTCATTACAAAATAGGATATAACACTTTTAAGGTAGGATTATTATGCTTCAACTAACATTCTATACAATTTGTACAGATTCAAGCAACAGTCAGAGTATAAATCTCATGAAGACATTAAAATCGCTGTAAAATTATTGATTCCAAAATAACACTTTGCGTTTTATTTGTCAAATAAAAATGCATTATTTAACTACCGAATCATTTTTCAATTCTTCTGGAATTTCATCTAATAATATTATACCAATTTTTTTACAAAAACTAAAGAAATCCTACAGATTTTACTCGTGAGCGTAAACATGATATGCTGCTTTGTTCTGGCTCGCGTTCCAATGCGTCGAGTTTCGCCTGTAACCCTGAATTTAATCATCGGCTTCTCCGCTTTCATAACATGACTGCATGATGATTTTTTTCAGAAAAATCGTTATGTAAGTGATTTTTAGAAGATGAACGGGATTGAAGAGTATTACCGACGTTTACTTGAGGTTAGATTCCTTTACATTTTAAATGAACTTTCAAAAGTTCGGACAAAATAGGAGACTTGGATGCAAGTGAGCGACTGGCAGGAGTGTCACGAAAAATTCAAATACACTAAATATTTTGTTTTCAAAAACACCATATGTTTCAAAAGTCAAATCTATTATTGCCTAATTACCGAGAGGGATCAGAATTTTATTCACTTATTCAAAAAAAAATTCCAAATGCTTCTATAATCTGTAACATTGTTGATATGGTTTGTTCATGTTTCAAGATCCATCACCAGCTGTTGAAACCTGGCAGAAGAAAAAATCACGGTCGGCAAATAATTCCAGTTGTATGGCCACAGCTAATTATCAGCCACAGCTTGCACTCATGATAACCTGTTGATATTCAAATCCAGGACTCGATAACAACCAAAAATGCTAAGTTGAAGATCCTCTTAAGGCGGAGTCATGGGCTGTGCTGGACTGGGCGACCTACGCTGGTCGTTACTGTAAATAGTTGGTGGCAAGTGCGACAGATGTTGCTGTAGTTGATGCAGCTGCTGGTTTTGCAGCTGCTGCTGATGCTGCAGTTGAATGTGTGAAGGCGATACCTTTAGGCCGTCTAAAGGAGAACCAGGTCTACCAACTCCAAGGGAGGTGGCAGGAGGCGAAGCAGATCCCAAAGATCCGCTACCGTTGGGGGTAGAGCCTGCACCAGAAGGCGGTAGGGCACTTCCCAGCAGGAGACGATTTTGGCCCTGACGATCAGTCTCACGCTCCTCTGCGTCCTGGCGTCTATAGGAGAAAGAAAAATATTCCCTCTTATTTGACAAGTAATAATTCAACAAAAATGTTTTATTCAAAAATCGTGTATTTGAAAAGTTAGCTGGAAATTGTGCGGAAATTTTGAAACAGAAAAAGATATTTTTTTAATATGTTCGACCTTTTTTATTTTTTATAACTGTAACGCATTTATGTTTTTATCTTACGCATATTCATGAATTTTTTCCAGTCAGTTCTGCATACTTATTAGAGTTGAAGTAGGATTAATGAATACAAACGCATAGCACAAATGCGTTATCTCAGTTTTTGGCATAAATGTATTACATAAATTTTGGCTACACTAAAGCTATAGTATTCCTTCTCGTTGTGATTCACTTTCCACGCAGCCAGCAATGTTTGCTGTCCAAGAACATGAACTTGTCGGCTTGTTGAACGAATTTTACCTCCAGTTCGGCGTGAAAATATTCACACGTCATCAAGAATTCGTGTTGACGCACATGCTGCGGCCTTGTTTATTCCTGTCTTACGTTGTCCTACACCGACCCGGAGGCGAGCCAAAAACTGAAGAAGACGGATTGTTCCCGTAGACTTTTTAAAATACATATTTTTACAGGTAAAAAATCAAATCAAATAAAGTACCGATCATTAATTTGTATTCGATTTTTTGGAACAAACAATCATGCGCTGCAAAAGACGTTAACTTTTATCACAAGTTGAAGCAATGAACGTATAAATTTTCCAAACAATGTTACTATTCCTAAAAATTCAGTTAGCATAATGAGAGAAAATTTGTGGGTTGAAATCTGCAACATACGAGTTGATAACTTGTTTATTGGGAAAATGTTCTTCTAGACGTTTAATTGGACCATTTTGTTATTCCTCGCAACGGTCAAGAATCAAGCTCACCTATCATTCAATTTTTAATAATGTTTATTCGTAAATACGATCATTTGATATTAAAGTAATAAAATTTCGAGTGATATATAATTTTTGGCTGCTTGGTACGTCGTTCAAACGTTCAGAATTGCAATCTTTCCATGAGTGACCGTTCATTAAAGTTCCTTAATAACCAAAAATGTAATGGTTTCAGTCAAATACTTCATGCAATTAAGTTTTAATTCATGTCCAAAAATCAATGTGCTCTTTGAATTTTAAAATTTAATTTGGCGGCGAAAGAATATTGTGCTTATGAGCCTCCGTACGACAAATGGATGTAAATTATTACTTAATTTAAATTTCAATATTAGAGCCCTAATGAATACCTATTCAAATAAAATTATTTATTGCGGCAAATGTTACAAAATTATATCAGCCCTAAATTAAACCCGGGAAATATATCATATTTTAATACATTCTTTTTGGGGAACGGCCGGTCCTTAATTGCACCACAAGCGAATTGATGTACCTACTTCGGTGCTTTTGCTGCTGGTACCTACTTAAGTTTAAAAATGGATGCCAAAGTTATATTGAAATTGATAAATTCCAAATATTTATAGTTTTGAAGTTAATCATTATTCGCAACCATACTTTGGCCCGACATCTGGAATAATCAGTAAAGAATTATTATCTTAACCATGAAATACTTTCCAAATGCCAACCATGCATGCTTAATTCCTAAGTAGTTTTAAGATTGGTTTATTCCGTTATAAAGCAACTTTTTCAGACCACATTCCTTTTTCTTTAGTTGATAAAGAAAGTTGTGCACAGGCTCACGTAAATTCTGTACTAGAGTAAAAGATCATCAAGGCAGGACATATCGTGATGTATTTTACTTGAGTATCTACCCCATTCAGCGGCACGCATTTAAGCAGCACTACGCGCTGTCCCGATGACCGGTTGAGATTTAAAACTTTTTGCTTTTATTTCGATGTATAATATTTGATTATTTTTAAATTTTGATAAAATCCAACACTGAACATTTTTACATGGTGGCTTCAGCTCGTATCCGATCTAAATGACTAATTGACGGTTTTTTTGCGCACCTCAAATTCACGACGTTTTTTTCCTTATTTCTATATTCGTCTAAAATCTTTTGGAGCCGGAACTCATGATAATTAAAGTGCAGCTAAACTGATGATAGGGTTATTCTCCGGAACGTTTCATGTATAAATAAAGCTAATTTTTCTGACATTTCATTCATTATTATATTGACGAAATTCCATATTTACATTGGTAATCCGAGAACGTTTTTACAAAGATTACTGCGGCCAACCTTGCAATTTTTGTTAAAAACTATTAATTTTTGTCATAAATTTCAGTCGTACAATAGCTCATGATCATCGATGAAAAACGAGCTTATAGTATTTTTTGTTTCGTAGCAGATTTTGTACCGTGTTGTCTATTGTGTGAATGTATTTTTAAATCAAAAGTGATGCTTCTTTTCTAACATAAATAATTCCATCAATTTTTAAACTGTTCAATCAATCAACTGTTGAAATTTGTAATTTTTAATATTGTTCATAAATGACGTCACCTGCCTCTTTACGCCGTTATTCTAGTTTGTTAGCAAACTCATTATTTTGTTCCAAACATGAATAAAAAATTTTTAATCTTGTCCAATTTTTGTCACGTAATATGATCGATGAGTCTAGGCCAAGTGTATATAATAACTTCAGTAATTAGCAGCTGTTCGAGAAAACCTTCTAGCGCAAGGTCAACAACGCAACAGGTTAAATAAATATGTATAGTTTTGTGCATGCATAAGCTCTGTCGTGAATATTTTTATAACTCCTGCCATCCGTTTTTCAGTGCATGATTTTTTTCTGTGTGAATTTTGAAGTGATTCTTCAATATTAGTTATTGTTAATCTTGCTGTCATCGTGTTCTTAATTATGCGTCTATGACGTTATAATATTGGTAAGCTATGAAAAGATATTAAAAATGCAGAGATAGCTTATGCATACACAGTATAATTATCAAAACCCTGTTTTTGATACCTCACTGTTCAGTATTTCACTATAAAAACGTTACCCGCGGCGTGACTTATGCCTTTATGCATCCTTTTTATGAATGAATTGAATTCATGAATATTCTGCACGGCTCTTAAGTTTGCTTTGCGTGACGTGAATTTTTAATCACTGATATGTGTTTGGTCGGATACACATTATTACAACTTCATGTTCTATGAATATTCACTTTACACTCTTTTTAAATTTAGCGTACCACATCACCATGAGAATTGCTGTATACTTTTCATTAATGATCCTGAACAACCATTAAAACATTAATTTCCGCTAAAGTTAACCAATTATCCATGCTGCTCGATATTTCAACTTTTACAGGGAGACTCATTTAAAAAGAAATTGTACTCAAAAAAGCCTTCATCACCTAGCGTGTAGTACGACAAATTTGCATGCTCAACGCCCCCTCTCCCCGTAGCGACTTTGCTAATGAGTTCCTCTTAGCGAACACCGACCTGCACATTAGCGCACGCTGCTCTACAACGAGGCCTTTCTACCTCTCACTATGAAAGCATAACAAGTGCCACTAACCATCATGGACGCGGTAATGTGCCTTGTCGCCCAACTGCTGCCGTGGCTCGTCAATCTTTAACTTCCATCGACCCGCCATGCATGGGCCGTTAAGCCTGCCATCGATACTCTGAGCTCGCTGATGAACTGGAACAGCGTTACTACTGAACTAATAGTTACAACTGAAATGCTGTGATGGTTGCTGCAGAAATGCTGTGATGGTTGCTGCAGAAATGCTGTGATGGTATGATGGTTGCTGCAGAAATGCTGCGATGGTTGCTGCAGAAATGCTGCGATGGTTGCTGCAGAAATGCTGCTATGATTGTAACCAAAATGCTACTATGGTTCCAACAGAAATGTTGCAATGGTTTCAACAGAAATTCTGCGATGGTTACAACAAAAATGCTGTGAAATTGATTGGAGCATAAATGATGCTGTAGCTGCAATAGAAATTCGATAGTTGTTGCAACAGAAACTTACTTACTGACTGCAAAATTGCAGTGCATTTAGGCCTTGACCTTGTAATAAATTTATATCCGTATAGTGCGCATGAATTTGAAATTAGCATGTTTCACTAGTTCAAAGTGAGCATTTTTCGGAGTATTGAGATCTTGACACCCTGTAATTTGGGTGGAAATTCATTAAGAGACCATTGAAAAAATAACATATTTTCAATCCAATTTTCTAGTATGAACATTTTTTCGAGGCCGCGCGTTTCGCTGCGTATAGCTACAAAAAATGTAAATAATTCACTACTTGATTTATTTTGTCATAAGAAATAATTCATTACGCTGAATATTTCTGCGCCCAAGTAAACCAACAAAACGGCAATTGGAAGCGATCCGAAGAATGTTCACGCGCAGCGTCCGCAACATCAAGCACGTTTGCAGCGAAAACTTTTGGCAATTTGTCGGAAGTGAGACAGAGCGATGGCCCTGCGCTGGTAACAACAACGTACGATGTTCAGTTGCTGCTCTGGTAACAACAACGTACGATGGCGAGGACCGCAAACTTGTATGTATGCGCGTACGTGCGCCGTCAAGCGCCGCGACGCCACCAGCGGACGAAATGTGCACTTCTAAACGCAATAAACAAACCGAGACTACTGGCCGAGAAAGAGAGAAGTTTACGCTCGGAGCGAACCGACTGTATTTTGATAAAAAAATATTCTGGTTCATTTAAATTTAAGGCTACAAACAAACATGATTCCAAGTCTTGTGGAGCGTAAATCATACAAATTCCATTACTGCTCGGTAAAAAATAGCATTCTAACAATATTGAAATGTAAATTTCATGAATTTAGGAGATAAAATTATGAATTCTCTGGGCGTTCACTGATATGGGTATACTAGCACTTATTTAGAATTCGAATAGGTAGTCCTCATCTGACAACGTGTAAAAATTTATTTTAATGAATGTTGAAATTTTACTGGACAGTAAGCATTGAATAACAGTGTGAATGGTGAATAAAATAGAGAAAGAATAAACCAGTGATGTATTACTAAAATGAATAATAAATTATAAACAAAGGTAATTTAGTTAATTGAAATAGAACAGAATCGAATAACATTAGCAGATGGTTAATCGAAAGAAATACATATCTACAACTGAAAGAGAAATATTAAAGTCTGTGTGTGGTTATGAGGAAGGAATAAAATAGAATAAAACACGGGACAAAATAAGAAAAAGATCGATGCGGCAACACAGCTCTGACCTCCACTTAGTCCGTCTGTTCTGGAACCAAGTCTTGACCTGCGCGTCCGTCATCTTGAGTTGCTTGGCCAGAGTCGCTCTCTCGCTGCTGGCCAAATATTTCTGTTTGTTGAAGCGCTTCTCCAGCTCGTTGACCTGGTGATATACAAGAACAATGTTTGTTGAAGCGCTTCACCAGCTCGTTGACCTGGCAATATACAATTAAAAAGGTTACTTTTTAATTAAGCCATATATATCATATCGGTAGGGAGAAAAATTTCGCCAAAATTTCTTGGAAATTGACTGAAGTTGTAGTAGTCAATCTGTTCATAAATTGTTGAATTTCGCAACATTAAAGGCTTGTTTAAAGCATCAACGATCATATTCATACATCCTCTGAGTAAATCCGATGTTTATACATCTGGGTACAAATTCATCCACCGTGCTCTGTATAGCCCCTCAGCTCGACCAACAATTTTGCTCATTGGATCAAAATATTACCTCGCTGCACGGTTATTTGTCCGATGTGTAATAACGGAATTCCAGTTGTATGACATTTAGTTAGCCATGACTTCGCTTTATAGGTCCGAAAACGGGAATGTCTAATCAAATTTTAAATTTTTTAATAGAATATCGGCTCCGAGAAATGGCACCTGATTACTCACACATGCAGGCTTAATTTTAAGTGAAATTAAAACTATTGCAATTTCAAATTCAAAGTTCGAAATTCGATGTCATCAGAGGCATTGATATCGTTTTTTAAATCACTTATATAATGAAATTAGATTTTGCGTATCCTGTGGATATTCTTCTCTCAATGTTATAGCTCGCAAATTAGTGGAGAAGATATATTTTAAATGAAGCAAAAAAAGACGATTTAAATTGTTCAGGAGTGTCAAATAAGAAAAATGGATTAAAAAACTTTAGAGGCCAATAAAATTGCTTCAAAATGTATTCCCAGCTATCCCATCACCTATTTCTTTTATTGAAGGTGCATGCCATCATGCGCGCCGTATGACCTATTGTTGTCCAGTTTAGACGCAAATAATAAGTTATACAAATAATTTTTCTTCAAGAGATGTTTGTAAAATATGTTCATTCTGTATAAATTTGAAAATGCCTTACGCAGAAACTAAAGCACGCACATGAATGCAGTTTGCTGAAATCGACGTGCCGCTTCCGCCTGCAACTACTACAAAATATATACTGTATAAGACCAGAAAACGAAAAAAGCAGAAATTTCCCTATTTTGATCAAAACATTCCCAATAATAAGATAACAGTGAAGGGATCACTTGGTTTCTGTCGCCTTAGGATCTGACATTAATCATAAATTATTAACGATACAGTGACCAATAGAGTAACCTGCAAGTAAGTTGAAATAAGTTAAAGTAAATTAATGTAAAATATTATGAATTATTATAAAATTGGTTACATGAGTCACTTCTTTATCTACTCTGGTGTATGTTGGCAAAGAAAGTTTAAGTTTACTAACACGTCAGTTTCATGCTATGAACTAGAGTAGATCAAAAGTACACCTACAAGAAAATCAATCTATTAATTGGAAGCTAAGGTACCTGGACACCTTATGCTTTTATTATGATTAGAGAAATATATTGTAGATATTATTTATTATTATTACTCTAGAGAAGTTTATTAGATAAAATCCATGTGTATGAGGTGTACCTGGACTCTGGTGAAGGAGGTTCGGGGCTTCTTGCGCTTGGGGGGCGTGCGGGACTGGTACGGGTGGCCGATGCGACGCGTCAGGGGGAACGGCGCCCCGCCTGTAACACAGAGAAATATATTTATTCATTAATAAATATTATAACTACTTATATCAGTAGTCTGTTTGAATCACAAGTTCACCTTGAATTTGTAAGCAAAGTAAAAATAAGAAGCAAAGAAATAACGTATATTTACCATATAATATTATATTTATAAATATACAAAGAAAATATAAATAAAGCAGAGAATTATACCATGTCTCAAAGGAAGCTTTTGAATTAATCAATCATGAATCAATGAAAAAATAATTAGTATTTTTATCGACAACCAAACCTAGATGGGATTTGCTAAGATTACTGTTAATAAATCCTGAAATGTTCAGTCGGAAGTAACAGTTACGCACGATCTATTTTATATTACACAAAAAATGCTGAAACATCGAGAAAAAATTATTATGGTACGGGATTCACACAATATAAATTTCATTCTTTCACGGAACACAAAATCCTATAACTTTGCCCTCAAGTGAGGAAGTTCATCATTAACGTTAAGGTCATTAACTAAACTAAATTGGATTAAAATATCAATAATACATTGAATTTATTTCAATAAATTTAATTTTCAGGTATCATTCCATTTGGCCGTAACTTATATAAAGAAGCGATGGCGATATCATATCAATCGACTTGAACATGTCTGTACTTATTGAGTTAAAATTTGAAGCAGCCACTTTGATAGTCCAGTAGTTCGGTACACATATCAGATTAAATCTTATATTTTTCGACGTTTAAAAGGAAAAAGGCAGTTGAGTCATACGCGGGTATCAAGCACGGTTATCATCCAGATATCCTGCTCGCATAAAATCCAATGATAGTTGTAGATAAAACTATAGTGAGCAGCGGCGGATATAGGATATTATCGTAGTCCATGCGTTGTATTTAACTGCCGAACGCATTTTAGTCAGTGACACATATTACCAGTACATCGTACGTGTACGCTACATGGCGCGTGCTATCGTGCACAGACAAATGTTTGTACGACGTTGAATATGTCCAACAACTGTCATTACTGCGAGTAAAGTCACTAGATGGCAAAGCTCCCTGTAAATTATCTTCAAAATTATCTCTGTCTATAATATTAGTCTATTAGATTGATTTATTCAAGTTTAGGACGCTGCATGCAGCTCGTCTCGTCTGGTGACAGCAGGCAACTGCAATCAGCGGAAATAATCATTGCAAAGCCCGTGATTAATAAGATGCCTAATGTCGCCAGAGACAAGACTTTATTCGACCAACCACAGCGAGGCGCCGTAAGTGCTGTATAATCTAGCAACATATGGCCGTAATAAGCGTTATGTCGATAATTGCCTACCTGCCAAACGCTTCGCACGTTTAGGCACCATAAATGAAATTACAGTAGTTGTTTATTGAAGGAATACATTTACGAAGATTTACTAGTATACTAGTAACAACAGGAATGAATACGTTATGAAAATCAAGGATGAATATGTAGACCAATGTTTGCAGTTGAATTTTGATTACCCAGCGAAATATTTTTTTAGCAAGATTTCTAACGAAAAAGTTAAGATGACTTATTGAAAATAATAACTTGAACATTCCTGAGTTCAAATGTATGCTGGTGAAAAATTGATACATGCAGACCCGATATTATTGTGATTAGATTGAGGGCAAATTAAATTAATGGCTTTACAAATATTCTTTTTTTCACAGAATCTTTGAATCATTATCGCTAAAAATTTCCTGTATAAATTATTACTGGAAAAAGGATATATTAATTCACACGTATCACTAAAACTTCAGATGAATGTTATATGACATCGACAAGAATTTGAAGCACTGGCGACGTAATTATTTATTTTAAAAATGCTACAATGTTCTTCAATCCTAAAATATAACTTTGTCTGCTGTATAACGGGGAACCACTAACATGTACTGACTGCGATCGGAAGTCTACTGTACAGTGCGTTGCAATTAAGCTCGTAATGTAAGGTGCACAATGAAAGAATATGAAGTTAATATTTTAATGGAAAAAGAACTTGGCAAAAATCACATTCTAATTTGCACGGATCATTTTCGGTAAAGATAAATAAACCGGCTAACCTGAATTGTACTTTTGAACCCTAATACAAGATCGTTATACTCCTAAAAAACTTTCGACGAATAACGTACCAACGTTCAATGACGTACATGTTACGTCTCCACGCCGTCTCTGGTTGAAATCCAGGGAATGCCAGGAAATCCTTTCCTAACTTATCTGCTGGAAAACTGTTCGCTGGTACTATTGTTAACTGTAGTATTTTCAATTCTAGCATTACTGATTCTTTGGCCTACTGGTTTCAGGATTCTCTTGCTGACGGGTTGCAGATATATAACAAAAGAAATTAAGAGATAATAGAACGATGTTATGCTCAATGCAACATTATATCACTGCACCAACCAGTTGGCATGAGGTGGATGTTGACGATTATCATTTTTAAATATTCAGGACGCCAATCGGATAGTATCAAGTATCCATAAATGAACGGACTTCACAATTAGAGATGGGAAAAATTAGCACAACTTCCCTTCCAACCTCTCACGTCTGATGATCTCTTTTGTCTCTCTCGATGCTTATCTCTTCTCCCGCGCGTATCTTTCCTTTTTTGAAAAATTATAAACGAATATGTGCATTCACTTCGAGTGAATGAATGTATAGGCGAGAGTTAATCCAACAGTCTCTGCATGCCGTCTCTGCAACAGTCTTTGCAACAGTCTCCCATACATAGGACGGAATGAGATTGTGTCTTAATTGATGGCGACGCACTTTATATGCCCTTCGTATATGGGTCACCTTGATCCTGTTTGGCACGGAAAAATGTGTTTCAGCAGTACTAGAGGATAGTGTGCTGTGTAGCGACGGCGATTGTGTAGCGTAACTACCCTCTTTTTTGAGAGGCAGCGAGGCGTAACTATATACCCTCTATGTTGAGTGGCAGCGAGGCGTAACTACCCTCCACTTTTAGTGGCAGCGAGGCGTAATTAACTACCCTCTATGTTGAGTGGCAGTGAGACGTAACTACCCTCTACTCTGAGTGGCAGTGCCTCTGCCTCACAATTATGAGGTCGTTATCTTGCCCTCCATCTGTCGGCTGCTGGTTTGCCCTCTCCGTCATACAGCGAGCCTGTATGGTGTGTATGGTGAATATTGTGTGATGCGTGTGTTGGTGGTGGCTGTGTGATGCATGTGTTGGTCGTCGCTGTGTGATGTGTTGGTTGGACACTGTGTGATGCCTGTGTCAGATAGGCGTCATATTCTGTATGATTGAGGTTAAAACTATATCTTCTTTCCTGTTCACTGTACTCGTATACTGTTGCCCGAATACTGTTACCGATTCTGACTTATACAGGGAGATTCTTCACTTCACAATAACAGATTTTTCCCTGATAACGTTTCCGGAAGAAGACTTCATTTGCGGTACAATGATATTGCTGATTTTTTGGGGCTGGCCTTTCAATACGGATAATTTTCTTGTAGTTTCAAGTCTACTCATTTTAATGTCAATTTATATAATTTTAATTTTAATGCTTGCATTTACTGCTGTTACGAAAGCAGGCTCATGCTGCTGCTTTCGTAACCAAGCTGCATCGTTTTTCTTTGTAGCATAAAAAGTTTCGTTATTATCTGATTTACACTTGACGAAACAATCTGAGTGTTATACATTCATTAATTCATGTTTAATGATTAAATTCTTGCTTCTTGATGAATGATGTTCTCAATACATAAAGTTACATTCAAAATTTTGTTGCATAAATTCTGGTATCATAGCACGTAGACTTATTACCTAATTTTCTCATTTGTTTTCATTTGCACCTACAATAACTTGTGTATTGAGTTTACATCAAATGAATGGTTTCGATTATTTGGATCGCGTCACACACCGTCCTATAATATGCATTTTAGCATGTATATGTTCCAACCACAACGAAAAAATACTATTTTGCGATATAATACCGTCGAATATCATACTGAGCAGCATAATTTATTATTTCAAACGAGTTATATGAACAGTCAATCGTTAACGGTTTAATATTAATCTTTCACTTCCGAATAAAATTTAGAGGTACAAAAAATTATGTTTAATATGAACCATCGCTATTGCTATTTGGCAGTGTGATTAAATGAGGTCCATAGTATAAAATCCATGCATTTCATATGGAAGTATTCCATATGGAAGCTTTCCATATATGTAAGTATTACATATATATAGAACCATTCCATATAAAAAGATTCCATATGTAAGCATTCCATATAATTTTATGTAAGCATCCAATATAGAAACATTCCATACTTAAGCATTCCATATAAGCATTCCATATGATATAAGCATTCCATATATGGATGTAGTCTGGTTAAGTTCATGCTGAATAATTAGACTTGCAATAGCAAAGCGTGTTGCAGCAATGCTGCTGCTGTAAACAATTTTTCAACCTGATTAGCACACAAAATTTTCCATAGAATTGCCTCCATAATGCATTATAATCTTATACTACGTATATCACCATCAGCGAATAATGCAATAAAAATTTATTCATTTACTTGTGGTTGAATTTTGTATATTTCGTTGGAAGTGGTTGATTGATTGCTCGGTGATTATAAAGTAATTATATGAAGCCAGATGTGAGCACATGTGCTAAACATGCATGTTTAGAGAGTAATTAACGTACGGCTGTAGGTCAGTGCAGTTAACTGCATTAATGCAGCACTAACACTGAAGACTGCCACATCATGCAACGTCTCTAACATTAATAAGTTATTTAGTTATTTAGCTAAGCTATAAGTTGTATATTCGTGTTACCTTGACTGGACATTTGATGCTAGAATTTCATGTATGTTCAAAAGTTCATTGATCTATGTGTAGTCCAACATTAATAATGCGACATGAATTACGATGAAGGCTTGTTAATTAAGGTAGGTTTAAGGTTTTGTTGCATTTTTTCAAAGTAAACATGAAATAAAAATATGAAAGTATTATTATATGTTATAGAATCCAATTTTAAATCAAATTATCGTTAATGATACATGTAAACTAATTAAATGAATAAATACCGAGTTCTGATAACCCGAGAGAAATAATTACCAGTAATGTAATTAAATCTGATACATAATTTAGTCAATAAAAATAATATGCAGTTACTCGTTAAAACTGATAAACAATTTGTTAGAAAACTAATGATCAGGTTTTGGATAAAAATTAATGTATTAAAATTACTGATGTATAAATTAGAAGTGAAATTAACCGACCTGCAAGCCTCTCAAGGGAAGGGAAATGCGGCGCGAGAACCGCAGTGCCTCGGTCCAGCGGTGACAGAGGGAGACCTGAGGGCAACCATGGGGCCCCTACTGCCAAGGGCCCCAGCTGAGGGTATCCTAGAGGGGGTCTCTGTGCCGGTACCCTCAGGACTGTGTGAGGATTGAAGGATAGTGGCATCCCTGAAGCATGTAAGGTGCTTGCGAGACTTGTGAACGTGGGGTTCAAGTGGGGAAAATAGCTGCTGGGTTGTACTGATATTTCCCCTCTTCTCAACCCCTCATAATATTCCTCATATGAGTCATCCTCGTCCACATGACCATCATCATCGTCCTGACCATGACCATCATCACTGTGCTCGTCCTCGGATCGTAATGATTGACCATCATCATTATAGTCTGAGTGGTTATAATCTTTGTGAGACGCTTGGTCCTCCCTGGGTTTTGTTTTGTTTGTTTTCGCGCGAATTGATTTTACGGATTTTTTAGCATCGCCGAGCAGAGCCGAAATGCTGAAACTGATCCGGGGTTTCTGGAGTAGCGGTGGACTGCATGGCCTGCTGTCCGAGTCCACGTTTATGTCCTCTTCCTGGTCCAAGTCCACAGCCGTCATGTTCATCAGTTATCAGTCCACCGATAAATACAATGCAATCCAATACTAATATTGTTATTTTATGTTAACAATGACACAGTTTTTCCGAATGCATTCAAACGTTACTTTCAAGGGGATAATATTTCAGTTACTTAACTATATGAAACCTCGCTCTTTTTAAGCTCCTGCTTTACTTAACTATATGAAACCTCGCTCTTTTTAAGCTCCTGCTTTACTTAACTATATGAAACCTCGTTCTTTTTAAGCTCCTGCTTCAAACGTTACATTGGTAATAATTTTGCATCAATTATCGTAGCGCCTATTTTGCCTTTCCTGCATCGATAATTAATTCAATTCTGAAAAGCAATGATAACAAAAGATTACAGGTTGGAATAGAATGTTACGCATGAGGCTTCAAGTTGTCATAGAAAATTTTTCGAATAGGCTCGAAAAAAATGTGATATATACAAGATTCAAACAACGAATGACATTGTTCTTAATTACATGAGCTACTGAATTGTTAAAGGGACTTAAGTGTGGTTAACAAGATACCGTACTTTAAATGCAATAAAAATCAATGAACCACAAACTCTATATAGAAGCCATATCAGCTCGAGCTAGACTTGCGTGTATATAAGCCGTCTCATGTGATGTGGACAATAGCTTTGCTTAACTCCTTCTTTGTCCCTCTTCCAATAAGATGGAAATTACTTTTTTACTATCCAATTACTTTTTATAGTTGGGAATGGCCACAAAAACTCTAAATGGCACTGAAGAGAAACGGTCATTATAAGTACGACACAAATTAGTATAATAACCGACCCCGGTTGCTGTGTCATCCACTCAGAAGCTATAATGTTTTGCCCCGCAATAATAGATCGTCCTACACAGGACAAAGTAATTCATCATCGACGCCGCAAATAACACTGGGGCGCTCCGATTATGACCTCATCCATGGACTGCAGTCGCGTTATGGATGGTCCGCAGCACCGATAAACCGGTTCCGAAACCGCACTCATCACTGATGTACCGTTAACAAGTTCAAGGATAAAATTCAGCGCCCGGATAATTATAATTATTATTAATTACAAAGTGCCTCGAAACTGTAATTCTATGGCAAAAGAAGCAGGCTAAATAAACAATGGCTTGGTCACTCCAACACTCGCAGGTCTCGGACACCGCACCTCTCGCGTCTCTGGGCCACGCAGGTCTCGGCATCGGCCTACGACTTCAGCCTCGGCATCGTGGCGCTCCATCCCGCTATTGGCTGGTACAAGTGCACGAACTGCTGAGGATTGGCTAGCCAATACACTATATTGGCTCCTCCTTTACAGCATAACATTGAGGTGACGTTACTCCAGTTGTTTCAGGTTGAGGTTATAACACAAGACTTTAGAGGAATTAATGTGGCTCCGCCCTAGCACGCTATTGGTTGCGGCCACAACAAAGATCCTATGAATAGCTTTGCACACAACAACAAAACAACAACTGCTACAAGCTATTACAGCCGCCCTATTATTCTACTTATTGCCTTCGAGGCAATCAGGACTTTTAGGGGCTATTGAACGTGACTGTTGAGGCAACGCACCTATTGCATAATATTGCTTCTCATATTGCCACTGCGTGTGCTGCTGCTATTCTAAATTGCCTAGACCAATTGTTCTTGCTATTACTTTACGGCATTGGCCATTACGTGTTGTTCTTGCTATTACTTTACAGTATTTGTCATTACGTGTTGTAATTTGATATTTTTTTACAGCATTTGTCATTACGTGTTGTTTTTGATATTACTTTACAGCATTTGCCATTACGTGTTGTTTTTGCTATTACTTTACAACATTTGTTTTTACGTGATGTTCTTGCCATTACTTCACAGAAATTAAAATGATTGAAACGAAATATAACCATTATTACAAATTATTCCTCATCAGATACCATACCTATAAGTTGTTCATACTAGTTTCGCAGTTTTTTTATATCGTTTTTTTTATGTAATATTTCTATCATAGTACAGCTATTACTATTTTGATTTGGTACTAAACAATCTTGCATTCTAGTTATCACTGCCAGAACTAGCATAAAAAGATAGAAAAAATAAAACTTACATCAAAAGAAAGAAAGTAACATCATCGCACAACAAGCAATGTCCAAATTGTTATTACGGATTTAGTGCCGATTCACCATTCTCGTCTGTAAATATGGTATAAGTTCTTTGTGTGTTTAATGTTTCATGTTATGTTGTAAAACGTTTATTGTTATACAACATAACATATTTGCCTCTCACTGTCATTGCATGGCATTGCCACTCATCAAGTCGCCGCAGACATTATTTTCACTCCTCATATGCATTCCAGAAAGCTAGTCCTGAATTCAACAAATTTGCAAGTTCTCATTTTTAAAAAAATACATTTGGTAAAAGTATTGTGTGATGTGTTGATAAGAGATGTGTGATGTGATGATAAGAGATACGAAATGTGATGATAAGAGATGCGTGATGTGATGATAAGAGATACGTGATGTGATGATAAGAGATGTGATGATAAGAGATGCGTGATGTGATGATAAGAGATGTGATGATAAGAGATGCTCTGCCAGAAGCAATGACTTAAGAAGCCTCTTACCTAAAGGTCGCTAAAAAACATGTAGCAATTTACCTCTAAAACCACGGGAAAAAATAATGGGCTGGGCGAACGTAATTGGGCGAATGGGCGGCAGCGCTGAAGCTAATGGGTCACAATTGGCCGTGGGTAGCTCGCCAGCGCCCATTAGCCGCTTAACTAATAATGGGTTTCGTAATTGGGATGAAAGTGAGCGTTGGAAAAAATAGCGTTGGAAAAAAATTGTGAGTGGGGAGAGCGAGACGGACAAGCGGCAGGGATATAGGGACAGGTTACGTGGGGGAGTGGGAGAGGGAGAGTGGGGGAGGGAGAGTGGGTGAGGGAGAGTGGGTGAGGGAGAGTGGGTGAGGGAGAGTGGGTGAGGGAGAGTGGGGGAGGGAGAGTGGGGGTAGTCAAGAATGATTTACAGGTACGAAATGAGTAGGACATGTATAGGAATATTTTATGATGAATGCACGGATCATTTTAAAAACATAATTAAAATAAATTGATTTATAAATTGTATAATTAGGCACTTGCATTTGTTCAGCAGTTGCTTATCGGTATTGGCCGCTGTTTCGGAATAAGTTAACCGTACGACGCGGCGACTTGTCTGCAACGAACCAACGAACTGCGCTCGTAATTAGCGAGCAAATCCTGGGCTATGAAAGCTACGACAGTGCGAGCAAAACTCGGCCGCCCCTCGTAGCGCTGATCTCATTGCGACCTTACGATCATCGGTACGCTGATCTCATTACGACCTTACGATCATCGTTGCACCAACTTTGTAACGCACTACAACCAAAACTGCGTTACAGAATTCGCTGTCGCTCATACCAACTGCACTCCCTGACTCCACTCCCAACGCAACTCCCACAGTTCGTTCACAAATCCGCGCTCAAACATTCCATCCGTCAACTCCCCTTGTTCCCTCCCCCATCTCCCCTCTCTTACTCTCTCCTAACTCACATCCAAACATCCCCCATAACTTTAATCTTTCCTCCCCCTAAACCTCCCCCCCTGAACATTCCCCTCCCCCCAGCCTCCCCAGCATGGGGCAGTTAGCGCGTCTTGACGTTTGTTTGGAGTGACGCGTTTGAGGCGCCCAGCTTTGTTGACTTAAGACATCGGTGATCGCTCATACCACCCACGTCCCCACCACAGCCCCCACTCCTCGCACCGGCCCCAGTCCCCACAGCTCACACCCACCCTAATAGTCAACCCAGTCCCCACCTCATATACCCACTCCTCATACCCACCCCAGTCCCCACCGTTCATACCCACCCCAGTTCTCACTCCTCATACCCTGTCTCTTATACACATCTAGATGTGTATAAGAGACAGCTCTAAAACCACGGGAAAAAATAATGGGCTGGGCGAACGTAATTGGGCGAATGGGCGGCAGCGCTGAAGCTAATGGGTCACAATTGGCCGTGGGTAGCTCGCCAGCGCCCATTAGCCGCTTAACTAATAATGGGTTTCGTAATTGGGATGAAAGTGAGCGTTGGAAAAAATAGCGTTGGAAAAAAATTGTGAGTGGGGAGAGCGAGACGGACAAGCGGCAGGGATATAGGGACAGGTTACGTGGGGNCCCCTCATACCCATCCCACTCTCCACCCCTCATACCCATCCCACTCTCCACCCCTCATACCCACCCCACTCACCGCCCCTCATACTCATCCCACCCTCCACCTCTCATACCCATCCCACTCTCCACTCCTCATACCCACCCCACTCACTGCCCCTCATACCCATCCCACTCACCGCCCCTCGTACTCATCCCACTCTCCACCTCTCATACCCACCCCACTCACCGCCCCTCATACCCATCCCACTCTCCACCCCTCATACCCACCCCACTCACCGCCCCTCATACTCATCCCACTCTCTACCTCTCATACTCATCCCACTCACCGCCCCTCATACTCACCCCACTCACCGCCCCTCATACCCATCCCACTCTCCACCCCTCTTACCCACCCCACTCTCCACCCCAGTTCCCCCTAATTAAGTATGCGTTAGTTTCGGTAGATTAGATTGCAGTATTCTCGAGATTCGCATTTGTAGCTTAATCTTTCTATATGCATCCCCACTACCAAATTATTGCCACTTTTAAATTATATTATTATTAATATTGATGTGTGTACTCTCAAATTATGGCTGTCGCGTAATTTTGATTGATATTATTCGTGACTGCTTCAGACAAAGATTAAGATTTCCGCTTTAATCATGCCATCGCTTGATTAGAGATGTTGGTCATATGTCGAGTTTATTGAAGGCTTGTGGTATGCTGCTATTTAACCATTTACATCGTACAAACATCAATGTGCAGTATCAAAACGACTGTCCTCAATGCGAGATCGGCTTGACTTCAGAATTGTTTTTACTCTCATTTGGCATATGAGGGGCCGGTTAACATCCTCCTACATCATCCAATCTCAGTTAACATCAGAGGCCAGTTAACATCCTGCAATAAGCACCGATGGTTTATATCATTAATGTTTCATACACACCACAGCTGCGTGTGATCACCCACGAGACGACCAGAGGTAGCGTTTGACGCTGACCAGAGTCAGGCTAATTCGCAGCCAAAGCCGAGGGAATTAGAGAGCCGTAAACAAACCTTGCTTAGATTGTAAACTTCTTCAAGCTGCTACACGTCATATAATGTTCTTCAAGCTGCTACACGTCATATAATGTTCTTCAAGCTGCGCTACACGTCATATAATGTTCTTCAAGCTGCTACACGTCATATAATGT